AAAATTGGATTTGGGTTCAGCGTAACCAATTAGTCCCAGAACTACTAGCCAAGTAGGTTGTAAGTCCCCTTTATGGGCAATTAGTTTATTGATCGCGCCAACATGCCTTTATACCTTTGGCAGAGTATATTGGGTCCTCTCAATGGGGCATATACATCGGACTCCACATTTAGCTCATTGGTTTTATTATCGGTTATTAGTAGCTCCCACATTTCAAACAGACTCTCTTGCATTGACCATTTATTCGTATACTGGATATCCAGTTTCAGCATTTTATAAATTGGTCAATGCATTCGGATATCTCAGCATTCATAATCTATATCATGTTAAGATTATTATACTTGCTTATGCTTGTGAAGTTATGTTTTATTTCAGCTTTATTCTATCCTATATGCTTAGTACCTTTCGAAAACTGACGCATACATGCGCTACATCTTCTCGTGATGTAGGTTTAGGTTCTCAGCATCCAAATCATGCATAGATTGATTCTCTGATCTTTAGTTCAGCAGATTCAGTGGTGAGTCCTCATTCTCCGAGGACAACAGTCATGAGTTTCTTTTCGGTATTTAGTCTTTTTGTTTCAATTTTACTAGATTTAGCTAGGGCTTGTCCCAGTACTTCTAGTCAGTTAGAGGCTTATTTCAGACATAGTTAGATTCATCTTAGTGTTGAGTTAGTGACTTCATTGTATTAAAGTCATTATTTTCAAATATATCAATTTTAGCATATGGGTATTCCCCATCTTTTCATTATAAATTATGATTTAGTTTCCTGCATAAGTTTATTATCTTTAGTATACTCATGATCATGCTAGCAGGTTTAGCTTGGGATCACTTGTGGTCCTAGGTTCCTTGTCCGCGTCTCGGGGTTAGCTGAGGGCGTGACACCTAGAAAAAGAGAAGTTGTAAGTCTAAAATGGATTTACGAAATCAAACTCAATCAGGAAGGAGATATTTAAAAGCACAAAGCAAGGTTGGTTGCTACAGGTTTCATGCAAAAAGCAAGTATTGATTTTTATGAAACTTTCTCTCCAGTTGCTCGTCTTGAGACAATTAGAACTGTAATTGATGTTGTTGCACAAATGAAATGGATGATATTTCAACTTGATCTTAAACCTGCATTTCTGAATGGAAAACTTGATGAAGAGATTTATGTTGAGAAACCTCAAGGATTTTTTGTTCAAGGGGGAGTAGAGAAGGTGTACAGGCTAAAAAAAGCTCTTTATGGGATGAAGCAAGATCCAACAGCATGGTAAAATGAAACTGATACATACTTTCTAAAAAATAATTTTTGTATGTGAAGAAAGAAAATGACAACATTATCATTGTTTGTCTCTATATGGATGATCTGCTCTTTATAGGAAATAATGTAAAGATGATACAAAAATTCAAGAAGGATATGATGCAAGCTTATGAAATGAGTGATCTTGGGTTGCTAAATTATTTCTTGGGCATCGAAATTTCTCAAGTGAAAGAAGAAATTTTTGTTTCTCAAAAGAATTATTCTTCAAAAATTCAAAATTATGGATTGCAGGTATGTGGTCATACCATTAGCAACAAAGGAGAATCTTAGAAAAGATGATGGAAAAAAGAAAGCTAATAGCTCACTTTATAGGAGCTTGAGTGGAAGTTTGCTATATCTTATCAACAAGGCCATATATTATGTTTGCTGCTTGTTTATTATCCAAGTTCATGCAAAAACCAAGCCAAGTGCTTTTTGGAGCTGCAAAGCGTATTCTACGCTACTTGCAAGGAACAAAGGATTATGGGATAATGTATAAATTCGGTCGAGATTTGAACTTAATTGGTTAGATAACATGAAGAGCACTTCTAGCTATGCTTTATTATTTGGATCAAGTATTTTTTTTTTCTTGGTTATCAAAAAAGCTAAGTGTTGTTGCTTAATCCACCGCCGAAGCAGAATATGTTTCAGCATACAAGGCTACTTCTCAAGCTATTTGGCTTAGTAGAACGTTTGAAGACATTGGTGAAAAACAAAAAAGAGGGATTGTTCTGTATTGTGATACAAATCAGCAATTGCAATTGCCAAGAATCCAGTCATCCATGAAAGATCAAAGCATATTTCCATCTAGTATCATTTTATTCGAGAAGCACAAGAGGAAAGCGAAATTCAGTTGCATTTTTTTAGACAGGAAAACAACTTTCTGACATCTTCACCAAAGAATTTCCTAGAGAAAATTTTTGCAATCTTCGAGAACGCATTTGATTTATCAAACAAATACATTAAGTAGGATTGTTGAAATTAATGCATCAATGTTTAGTCTTCCGAAATTGTCTCTTAGTTTTTCAAGAATTCTTTTTAGAATTTCGTCGTACATGAATCTAGTAAATTGTGATATATGTACTTAGTTATTTGTGCAAGACTTTTTCTTTTCTATTTTGAGTAGTGTAAATAGTGATGTAGTTGATGATTGTAATCATCTCAAGTGGCCTCAAGTAGCCTATAATAAACTTGAGCATTCTCTAAAGATACTATTTCCTTCCATATTTCCTACATCTACGAGCAATTCTCGTTCTTGCGTTTATAGTATGTTTAACTAATAAGTAATTGTCTATGTATGTGTATATTTACAACTTATTTAATATGTATGCATAGATGTCGAAGCAAAACCAGTATAAAAATATTGTGCTTTGTTAGGTATATTCTCACCTAGTTATTAATGTTTTACAGTTTAAAATTTTTAGATGACAATGGAAAAAACTGTTGATCGAGGAAGAATGTGAACTGAGACTGATAGGAGAAAAGATAGAAGTTATGTAACTGAGGTGACTAAGGAGATTGGGGTAAGTATTCTTTTTGTAGACAATTACTCGAGTAGATGTTTATAGTAGTGCACAAATTGGGAATTTGGTTTAATAATGACATGATGCTAGATTAGAAGGTAGTGGAATAATAGGTTGCTTAGTATTGTCGTACATTTATGTGGGAGAGGCAGAGGATAGTCTCCTCTGCTTATCGTCTTTGTATCTGGTAGTAATATTTAGTATTTACCTAGTATCTTATTAAATAGACATAAAATCCATTGAGATATAGAAGATGAACAATTTTATAAATCCAACATACAATCCACTGAGACATAAAAAATGTCAATGTGTGCGTATCCAAACTTCTAAAACTAGTCTATTTTTAGAGAATTCGACATGGATGCGACATAAAAAGTGAAGAGTCTGCACAACTTAGATATAAATGAAATATAAGTATTTACTATTTTGTAAACTAAATGGTCAAATAGTAATATTGATTACTATTTCTTTTTGTATTACTGAGTAATGCATTTGTAACTAAAATTCGATTCCAAAAGCGTATAATACATTTTCCACAAATAAATAATTGTATTTTCCTCGATTTAGAATGAAATCTCACCCAAAAATAGAAGCGAGAAACACCATAGATATGAGCGTTTTCTCTCGTAAGGAATTTTTTCAGACAAACAAATAATTGAAAGTTCCTCTCCCTCCTATCAAGAGGTGATTTTCTGATTTTGAACGAGAATGAATCATAGTCGGTCCTTAAAAGAGGTATCAATAAATCGACTTAACACCATACAAATTAGTTAAAAAATAAATAATGAATATCAAATTATTATATCAAATAGTAATAATATATAAACTAATATGTTCATTTGTGATTTTACCATTTCCTTGTATTGCTAGTATAGGCCAAATCAATTGGTGACCCCCTAAATATGGCACCAATTTTTACTTAAACACTTCAATTAGGCGATGTTCATTTTAGACACGCCATTCAGGGTTAAGTTGTGTCATTTTGACACTTTTCTGACAATAAACAAAGAACTAAAGGAGAGTGTAATACACTCGTTCATGACGTGACAAACAATCATTTAAATAATTGCATATGTTATTTTCAGTTTTAAAAAATAATAAAATCTATTTAGCCAATAAATCAAAAAATTATTCTAAGAAAATCTCTTATTTCATTACACTCAAAATCTCTTTTGTGCTTTTTTTTCTCAAAAAATTCTTTTCTTTTACTATTTTTCATATTTATTTATCTTTTTATTTTTAGTATTGTGTTTTGGAAAGAAAAGAGGGACGAGAAGAAAGAAAAAAAGAATATATATGAAATATGGGTGTTGGTATCCATTTTTCCGACAAAAAAATGGAGGGAGGTGATGGTAGATTTAGATAAGTAATACAATGAAAGAAGAAGAAAATGACTTAAAAACGAATTTGAAAAAAAAAATTGACCTTCATTGAAGGAATTTAAGATTGAAAAAAAGTAGGGGGTGGTGGCTTGAAAAATGGAGAAGAAGAAGAGAATAAAATTAAAAATGGCTAAATTAAGTCTTTCACGCGCTATTGTTGAGTGTATCACACTCACTTTGACATGTCAGCAAAAAATGTCAAAATGACACGATAGAACCCTATATAATGTGTCTAAAATGTACATCGCCTAAGTGAGGTGTCTAAGTGAAAATTGGTGCCAAGTTTAGGGGGAGTATATAACCTTTTCTTCCATGAACTTGATCAAAATGATAGAGTAGTGGCACAACACGAGGAAATATTTTACTACACACTCGACATGCAATTAAATTATACAAGTCATTGTGATGTTTTTCTTCATTAATCTGAATCATATTTTATTATTTAAAGTGGAAAGCTCTTGATTTTGTGATGTGACAAAATAGTAATCCAACTTAAAGATAAGAGTTTCCCACTTTAAATAATATATGATTTGACTTAATTAAGAGAAATATAGTAGCTTATACTAATTTAATTGCATGTCGATTGTGGGGCAAAAAATTTTCTCACATTGTGCCACTAGTTTATCATTTTGATCAAATTAATGGAAGAAAACATTATACGGTAGCAATACAACGAAATGGTAAAATCATACATGAATAAATTAGTTTATATATTATTATTATTTGATATAATATTTTGATATTCATTATTTATTTGTTGGTCAATTTATATTAACGCCACGTCAATTTTTTTATTTCTTTTAAGATAGACTATGATTCATCTTATTCGATCAAAAACCTACATCTTGATAGGAAAGAGTTTAATATTTTTATTTGTTTGAAAACATCCTTACAAGAGAAAACACTCTTATCTTGGGTTTTTCTTGTAACTATTTTTGTGGCAATTCATTTTAAGTAGAGGCAAATTACCTTTTTTTTTACAAGGAAGGTGAAGTTTCCAAAGGATTATAAATACATATTCCTCATATAGAAATGTCACGCTCTGAGCTACCCCCGAGACGCGGACACGACCTAGGATCACAAGTGACCTAAAGCTAACCTTGTAGGCAATTTGGCATACATAAACATACTATGATAACTGAAATGAGATAATAATGAGGGTAAGCTTTATCAAAACTGTAAGTGATGAAGAATACCCATTCTAAAACTGAATATATAAGAAAACTTAGAGTTTTAACACAGCTGAAAGTCAAACTCAAATGAACTTAAGCTAAATCTAGCTATGTCTTGAATAAGCATCTACTGACTAGAAATGCCGGTACATACCCCAGCTAGATCTAGCAAATACTCAAAATAAAGACTAAAAACAAAGGGAAATAATCATGTCACTTGTCCTCGAAGAATGAGGACTCACCATTGTAACTGATGAACTGAACATCGAGAACCTATTGATCTAAGCGTGATCTGGCAGTTGAGAACCCGAACCTACATGAAGAGAAGATGTAGCGCAAAGTATGTATCAGTACTTGAAACGTCAAGCAA